ATACGTGTAGTGGAATAGTAAAGCATGTTGTGTAGCAAAATACAAGAGCTTTGCTTTCGTATTCTTTGTTTAGTTTGTTGTCTTATATATCCCACCTGTTTGGGATATACGGCATTTTTAGCGAGCGGGATTTATGCCCAAAGCATACGAAGTGTGCAGATTGAATTCAATGCATTAAATGCAATAAACGCATTATATGAAATATGTACCTTATTTGTAATATATGTAGAAAGATCATAATTATTATTTATTACTTCATATACATATTTACCATTCTTATTCCTTAATAAAACTTTATAAACATATTTTATAAGTTATTATGTCATTATACGTCTTATTTATATGCATTATTTGTAAATTTTACATGAGCCATACATATCCCCCCCTCCCCCTATAAGTAGCCGTATATCCCACCTCTATGGGATATATGGCAAAAATGCAAGGGTTTCAAAAAGTTTATTTTTTAATATGAAAAATAAAAATATTTCGGATTTCTAATATTTTTTTCATAGTAGTAGACAGTACAAAGTTTTTACTGATATAATTCGTTTACTATAAACATAGTAAGTAATACTTAATAAATTAAGTTTTTAATAGGTGCGGCGTATATACCGGAGTTACCCTATATAAAGGAAAATTCAGGAAAAGCAGAAAACAATTAACTTTTGATAAAATTCTACATTCTAAATTTTCATCGGCAGGATCTCAATGTTTGTCGTTAAATAAAAAATTCTCGACAAGATTCAAATAAATATTCTTTACACTTAGATGCAAATTCTATTTCCTTACAATTTATAGCACATTACAATAAAGGAAAATATTCTTTATTGTAAACTTAAATAAACTAAAATTTAGTGTATCTAATGTAACTTTCTGCTACGCGAACAATCATAATTAAGGCTTAGTTTTAAAAATCGAGCTATACGATGCATATCGAGAAGTATGGAAAATAATCATCGATTTCCTGCGAATTCGCGCTTCGACTTATTGCATGCCACAAAACGTAACGTTTATGAAAGAAAAAACTTGCAATAGCAAGTCTACTTTTGAGTCACAAATGACATAAATTTACCGCTAGAACAAAGGTGTAAAGATGGGTAAATGCATGCGTGCATCAATTAGTTCTCTAATTACCCACCCGGGTGTGAATCCTTGATACGTGGGTACTTGTTGCTGCTGGATAGCTGTAGCAGCCTGTGATGGTGCCGCGGTAACGTACACAGGAGGCGGCACCGCGTGGGCTCTCGAGCGCACGTGAGCGTATTCCTGATAGAGGGGCTGTCCCAAATGCTGGGCACTTCCTATCACAGGCCCTCCGGCGGGACTCCTACCACCGCCACTGCCGCCGGGACTCAGATGAGCCGGATGCCCGTGATGACTGTGAGTATGACCCGGATGGGCTGCCGTACCTACTACCTGACTCTGCCTATAAAATGCAAAACAAAATCCATCCTTTCGTTATGCGATCCACATAACCGTTTACTCACGGCAGTACGTCTCTTTAAGGGTGAAATAGAAGATTTAACGGATGCGTTCTCAACTCTTAATATTCGCAAGCTTCTCTTCCGGTCTTCTCGACGTACGATTGAAAGAAGAAATAAACTAATTCATAAGAAAACTTTGTTCTACGGTTAAAATCGTGTTAACTACTTGTCACGTTGGCTCGCTCGTTTCTTTTTTAAAAAAGTTCACGTAACACGGCGATTATTTGATGAGAACATGCTCCGTCGCTATGTATCATGTCGTTTAAAAATCGTTCTAGAGCTTATCTCATAATTATAATACATGCCTCGATTAAAAACGCGGGCAATCATGACAAGAAAGATGATCCTCACCTATATTGATGCACAGGATTAGCCACCACCCACTTCTGATGGTCTCTCGAGTGAGCAGCCGGTGGTTGAACGTATTCATGCTTGTACTCAGCTCGCTTCCCAGGCCAGGACACTCGTTTGTCCGTGCCGGTCGTGTACACGATATGCTGCTCTTGCAGGTGAGGATGCGCACTACTCGTGGTCACATACTGTAAGAAGGGATCATGCATGTCATAGACGTCATCCTAAAAACATTTACCAAACGAAATTACTAAAAAAAAAAAAGAAGAAAAATTGCCGATAGACGCGGCCTTGTTCCCTTTCTTCCTTCTCTCTAGTCGTTCTCTTTGTCGGACATTCTATAGAATATTAAGTGAACAAAATAGTTGAGGGATTACAAGAGAATTGCAAATAAAAATGTATGAAGAAATTAGATGTGATACTGAAAAATAGAAATCTTAGTTAACCTGATAGGTCGGTGGCTCTTTGCAAGCTGGCGCGTGACACGGATGTGGAGCAAGGTACTCAACACCAGGTTCTGGTTTCGTCGCGACGTTCACCATGTTACATTCAGACTGCACCTTCGCCAATAGTCGCTTCTTTTGTGACTGAGAAGAATAGCCTGAGCTACTGCAACAAACATTGATAGCAAAAGTTAATTAAGTTTAGCAATTATGCACATTTTAGGAATTATTTAAGAATAAAAAACTAATAAAACGAAATTTAATTTTAAAAATGATCGAAGAATTATTTTATTGATAAATTCCTGTCGCAGATGTCGGTATCATCAATGATCGAAGCTTCATCAGCTCACCTGCTGACGTGATGTTGTTGCTGCGGCTCGTGCTTAATTAATTGCGTGGTCTGCTGATGCTGCGGGTGTTGCGGCAGATATAAATGGGCATGCGTGCGACTTGGGCTGGCTTCGCCGTCGCTATCACCAACAGTGACACAGCTAATGATATTCTTGCGATGCGTTCGATGTGATGATGAGCTGCTATGCGTTGTAACGTGCCCACTCGCATGTTGCTGACTGCTCGCGTGTGTTGACTGTTGCATCGGCTGTACTACGCGAGGCGTCGATTGAGTGCTGCAAAATCAAGAAGAAGAGACTTCTTTATTTAGAGTCATCGAGGCAGTCATCGTCGCGTGCTTTAACCGTTGGCAAGTTAACGCCGCATCCATGAAATATCGCATGCTAAAGATGATTTACAACGATATTATTTATTAAGTGTCGTAACTTTGTGTTAGTCGACAGTTGTTTCACACCAAGCTCCGCAACCGGATCCCTCTAAATAGCCCGTATCTATCCCGTTATAAATCCAAATAATTTGTATTATTCGAAACATTAGTAATTGATTAAAATATTTATAGTTTATACTAAGGATATAATATAATTATGATTTATGAACATCTCTACAAGCTATAAAGACTAAGTTATTTTTCCAAGGCTTCCGAAGCATAGTGTTCATTAGGTATTAAATTGATTTTGAATGATTTACTAGCAAGGTATCGAAATGAAAAGTAGCAAATTGATCTTATCTCTTGTGACGCTTACAATCTGTTAACTGCATATTCTCTTAACGAGATTTAATTAAGTATCATTAACACCGTCATATTACATTAATATACCTTCGTATGATTTCTTCACGGACAGGACGTCCGTCGCCCGACAAGCGAGTTGCCAAACTTTGACAGGCGCTGCACTGACGGTCTCCACAGCTGTCAATAATATCCATGCGTGATTGTACTACCAACTAATAACTAATAGATGTATAACGCGTGCTTAAATAAATTCTTTTACAAAAGGTAATGCTAAAAGATCTGTCAAAAAATCTATTAATATTTTAAACATATGTATTCTTAATATTTTTCTCTTGACTTGCCTATTGGGAAAATTAATTTGTAAATTTGAATATAATTTCGGTAAATGTAAGTTTCGATGCTATAGACGCATGAAAAAAAAACCACTAATTACATTTTACATATATACGAATAAACATGATCATTATATGTATCTATATTATCTATAATATCTAAATCTGAACTCTACGAAATTGTACCAGTGTTTCAATCTCTACTGAAATTAAAGTCTAAAGTCTAAAAATTTGAAATAAAAAATATATCCCTAAACTACAAAATTTTATCTCATTTGATATACTAATTTATAATATATATACTGGAAACGTAGCATTTGGTATAAAACTCACCATTTTCCAGGTGTCTCATCTTCACTATCACTGATCGTGATAACGGAAACGGCTGGCGAAGGCGTGTCATCAATCGTGATGGTCTGTTGCCGTACGGATGCGACTGGGTGATGCTCCACGTTATGACTACTACTGTGTTTGCTACCGTGATGATGAGACTGAACTGGTTGTTCCTGCCAATGACTACTCGGTGAGTGTCGTCGCATACTACTCGGCGGTGTGCTCTCCTTTACCCGTTTCTTCACAGGACTCAGTTGTTGCGTCTCTTTCTTGTGTTCATGTCTATGCTGAGTCTGCTGAGGTACCGTCACATGATGTTGATGATGTTTGGTGACGGTGCGCTTGCCCCAGCTCTGTGACGGATGCTCGACAAGTGCACTAGCATTGTAAACTTCCGTGACAGGAAATACCGGCCGCTGATCCTTCCCCAAAACAAGGGAGATTAGTTAAAAACTGAGAATTTTCTAATTTTATAATGTGTAAAACATTACGAAGAATGCTTTATAGAAGATGAAGTGACAACTAACATGATGTAAAATATCACAAAAGAAGAAAGAGAAGCGACATGCATATATTAATAAGCTTCCATTTTTCATTGAATATTACGAGCAATTTATTAACAAGTACTACCTGTAGAATAGCAGAGCTATCGACGATAAGGGGCCTTCCCCAATCTCCAGTATCGCTGAGGAGTGGTTGTTGAATGTGCTGCGGTGGCAATTGCTGCCACGATGGTACGATCGCAGCCATCTGACGACTTCCACCAGGCCAAGATGTCTGCACAGCATTCTATGATGATCATAAATGTATATAAAAACATAACAGACCATTATACGGTCATTTGGAGGTGAATATTATTTTACTTACGGTAAGCAACATTTGCCGACCAGTCTCGACCATAGACACGGGAACTGCAGCGTATTGTTGTTGAGCAGCTACAGCCGCCGCGGCCACGGCTTGCTGCGATATAATGGACGATTGTATCTGCAGAGGTGCTTGTTGCGCTTGTGGTGGCTATGAAATAAATTGTTATTAATGACTAATCGTTTCAATAATAAACTTATTGCTCATATAAGTATGATAACTATTCTTACTTGAGCAACAACTACGTGCTTCGCAGGACTTGGCATAGTTTGGTAGCCATGTGGTGGACACAATATGCCGGGTACCAGTTGATGCGGAAAATCGTGAACTCCACTTCGTCCACTGTTGGATCCGCTAGACGAGCCGCTATACTGCGTCGCTCGTCTACTGCTGTTACTATATATTTGGTACTGAAATTAGAAAATATAAATTATGTAGAGCCAACAGTTTTTACGAAATGTTACATAACTTAAAATACAAAAGGTGTAATACAAGAATTATATAAACATACCAGATTGTCATATCCTGTTTGTGCGGTGCGGTGCTCTCTGACTAATCGCTGCACTTGATTAGACAATTGGTTGTTGAAGGTGAGAGTCACCGCACTGCCGTTAGTAGTCGGTACAAAATTGGCTACTAAAGACGTTGGTGGAGGTGGCTGAGGCGCCGGCGGAGCCTGATGATGCGCAGGACTCGCAGTAAAATCTCCCGCGCGCCTGCAAACCTCCATCATCTGGACGGAAGCTTTGACGTTGTTACAATGCGCGTAATCGACTAGATGTGCCAGAGTAACAAACGCATGATTCAGTGCCTCGCCGGGTGTTATACGGCGCTCCTTTTAACACAAATAACACATTCGTATGAGAAAAACTCCATATGTATACAAACAAAAAAACTCGTTCTTTAATAAATTAAGAGCATCAATTAGATATTACTACCTGGTCCATTGTAAGCATCCTCTTCAAGAGGTCAATGAATTCTCGCCTGTCCGCTTTCTCTGGCAAGAGTTGACCGCCGTCTAAGTCAGTCGGTACATTAACCTGACCGATATCGTCAAGGCAATTAAAAATATATTTTCTCGCTTCCTTGGATTTGATACCAGTCTCTGCCTCGTGTTCTTCCGGTGTCTTTAATCGCCAAAATGGATATGTACCTAAAAATATGTGTGGAATTTATAAGAAAAGCTCTTGCTATTCGATATTGTTATTTTGTATCAAGTTACGTACTGTCCATGTCCCGGTAAAAGAATTTTGTTGTTTTGCTGGCGTTGTTTAGCATATGCTCCGTCGGTAGGCCCTGCGTTTGACTTATATATCGAATTTGATCGTACTCGGAACTGCCCGGGTATAAAGGCCATCCCAAAAACAACTCTGCGACCACACAGCCGAGTGACCACATATCTATCGCTTCACAATACGGAAGTCCCAGTATGATCTCGGGTGCGCGGTAGTATCGTGATTGCAGATAAGTGTTGCAGACGGCTTTGGATACATGCGAGGCCGATCCGAAATCGATGACTTTCACTCGATAGGGCTGACGCATTGGATCCACCAGCATAATGTTCTCCGGTTTCAAATCGGCATGTATCAATCCTAATTGCTGCAAAGGTAAAGGCATTTGCACGTTAATTCTCAATGTCGATCCAAGTACCAGATGACGCACGCATGATTATGATGATATCGTACCTTCAATTTCAATAGCGCGGTCAACACTTGTTGGAGAATGGGCCTAATGTATTTGAGAGGTAGGGGTGAAAATTTATTCTGCTTCAAGAAATCGTAGAGATTTTGCTCTAACATTTCAAATACCAAGCAGGTATGTGATTTGTGCTGAAAGCACTCGTAGGCGCGCACGAAATTGAACTCATCCGCATTTTCCTGACTAAGTCGAGACAGGATGGAGACCTGTAAAAACATTTTTTAAACATGATAAGTTGCTCAATGTAATACACAGGACATAATTCAGTTGACGTTTACAAATATACGTCTACACACTTTGCGTCGTATATTTTTACTAATATACTAATATTTACGTAGTGCGTACCTCAATCTGACCTTGGCGCGCATACGATGGATGGTTCTTAAGAATTTTGATGGCTACTATGTCGCTTGTCCCTTTTTTCCAACATTTTACAACCTACAAAAATCAATTGTCAATTTGTATATAACCCATTCTCACGGGAGAAGGCTGAACAATCAATAGTTTAAAATATGAAAAGGTTATAATCGTATTACGCGTTCTATTCTTACCTGCCCGAAAGTACCTCTGCCGAGAAACTCGAGGACCTCATACTGATGGGTCATGGAATAAAGAACTTCGTGCTGCACCAAATGATAATCCCCGTCGCCCTGGGGATTGCTGCTGCCGCCGCCGTTGGCCGCGTTGGCCACTTGTTTGCTATGCGCCGTCATGCTTGCCTGCTTGCTGTGCTGTTGCTGCTGTTGTTGCTGCAGCTGCTGTTGCTGTTGGGTATGGTGCTGCGACACTACAGTACTACCCACCACATTCGCGTTGGCGGAATGGACTGCCAGGCCGTCACCATTACCTTCCCTCGACCAAGTTTTTCTCTATAGAAGTAATATAACTTATATAAAAATATATTTTTGGGTATTAAGAGATTGCCATCGAGTAGACTGCGAAAGAGCGGCATCAAGTTGAGTAGTTGGAAGAACGGTAAAATGAAAGCAATTACGCTAAAGGGCAATACGTCGATACTCTTACAGAAATCCAATTTAATACTGAAATGTAGTAATAAATTACTTACTTTAAGTATTAGAAGCACTATTGTTCAATGCTTTTAATGTTCAAAATATGTAATTAATTACTACCTTCCACACTGTTAGATATTCAAGCAGCGATATGGTAACCCAGTCTCTCGAGTTAAATAACATTTTTAACTCCCATGTGTGTCAAAATGTAAATCAATCCATTTTCATCGACTAAACTATTTTGTTTCAAGTAAACAACGTTCGTACTTACTAAATAATCTAATAAACTAAATTCAAATAAAATTTAATACATTTATTTTATCTTAAAAAATGATTAGGTACCTCATAGAAATTGCCAAAAAATATTTTTAAGAATTTTTATTTTAACCCACAATGAAATGTTTTTATAAAGTTTCATCAAAATCGGAAGACGGTTTCGGAACTTTATCCCATCTCTTAAATTGTTTAACTCCATTGTTTTAATTAAATTAACAACATATTATAAGTAAGAAATGGTATCCGTAGAAATGGTCAAATAAAAAATAAGTGAAATTTGTTTCAATTTATATAAAAAATTTGTTTTAATTTGTTTGAATTCCTGTAAAAAATTGTGAGAAAAATGTTCACCAGGGTAGAATGAAATTTCTGTAAGAGTATACAGCTCTGAACGGCACAGCCCCCGGAAAACGCAAAGATACGAGGTACTACCTGTAACAGACGAGTCCAAGAGCCGGAGATTTTCCGCGTCGACGTTGACGCAAAAGAGAACTTCGATCGTCACCGATTGCGTGATTCGCATTCGCGCGCCGTTGGAAATCAATTAACGACGGACGCGTGTCTATAGAGCCAACGTTACGTATCGCGTACATTTCGTGCGTTCTATTATACGTGAGCAACGGCTTCACTGTGTGAATCAAACGCCTGCTCGTCGATCAGGAGTGAATCGAGGAAATAGTCGTGCCTCTTCCTCCTCTGATCATCGACAAAACGATCGTTCCCGGTGATGTCGCGCTTGGTCGCAGTTTCGTGAACCAGGCAGAATTTCGCGGACGTCACGCGGACAATATGTGCGCATCCCGCGATATCCGCGCGATGGCCGATATGAAATATGTAATGGGAACCTTGAAAGTACAATCGATAGTTAACTACGCCATACGGAAACGTTATCTACGCCGCCAACTACGCGCTCGTGACACCCCGGAACGGTGTTCGCAACCGATAGCTGTAACCGAAACACGATCACTGCTGCTCTGTAATTATTATCGCCGCGGCCGGTGCACGGTTCGGATGCGCACGTGCACGCGGCGTATGATCGTTAGTTGAGACCGGTCGAAGATCATTTCGGGCCGAGCAGGAACGTGGAGAGCGATCGAGCGAGAAGAAAGAATCTTTACGGTTTCGAGGAATCGAATTATCCGCGCAGAGGCTTTTCCTCGGGCGTCCGTCAACTATACACCCGCTTCCGGGTGGCAACAAACTCATCTCCTGGTTCACACCTGGGCACGGATGCGTATTCTCTCTTCTACCGCGACGTTCTGAGCAAAGCCAGTCTCGTATCAGATGACCAATTTTTTTTCTTTCTTAATCTTTTAAGGATCAGAGCTTTCTAACAAATTTACGGAAGATTTTATTTTTTTAGGGTTTTCGGAGTCGCAGAATTCTAAAATTCAAATTTCAAAAAAAATCATCTGATTATCGTGAAACACGGTTTTAAGAAATTCTTGATATTCTCTGAGTTTTGAATGTAGCCTGAAAATATTGAATTTCAAAGCATAATAACCTTCATGAAAGAGGATCTAGTATCATAAGACTCATAATCAAAGTTTGAAAGTGAATCTGAAAATCAGTACTAACACTGTTTGCATAGCACTGATGAGCTTCAAATAAAGCAAAACTGGAAAGTTATACTTTGCAATTAAAAACTCCTTAAAATCGAATTTTATGATAATCAAATTATTTATTAAAAATTCTATCCATACACACACAATATTGAAACTACCATTTTGAATTTTTGACAATTCAGATTCAAATAAAGCTAAATTATCCCATAGGGCAAGTTTCATAAAAATCGAGACCGAGTAGTTTATAAAATAAAAGAGAATGATTCCAAATGAGGCCTACAAAGGATTAATAAATAAACGGAAGATTCTTTTTATTCCATCCATTTATTCCGAATAGAGAAAGTTAGAATATCGGGAGCAAATTTATGAAACCAGAAGTGACATGCTATAATTAGTCATTCAAGGAAAGATAAAAAGAGAAAGGAATCTCTGATGAGAAGAAGAAGAATAACATCTTGGCTACAAACCTTCGCCAATTTTAATAAAAGCACCTGATCAGTTCAGAGTTGCTATGTCCAAGATTTTAATTCGTCTTAACGATCGCAACCTTCCCTAGAAGATGGCACATCAAGAAGAAAAATAAATAAAACGACATTACAGAGTTAGCAGGTGCCCATGTTTCAGTCGAGGATTTTCGAATCGATCGGTGAGTTGTACGCGAGATGATGAGATATATATATATATATATATATATATATGTATATGTATATAAAGCACCACGAATATCGAGCTCGTTTGTAGTGGTATTCATAAAGTTAGTTTCCTGGTAATAGACGTCAGTTTCCCACGACGTTGCGCCGTACGGTCGCAAATCGGAGAATTAACGAGCGTCAAGGAAATTGTAATACCTCTTCTGTCATTAGAAGCTCGTTACCTCTTGGACGTACGTGGCGTTTTGCCGTAAATGCTAAATCAAACACGCGATGAGAATGCGCAAAGATCAATCGAGGACCGCTTGTCGATCATTTCGGAATACTACGGGACATGCATGCCAAATAGATTCTGTTGCTGGCTACTGCATGCTATTTAAATAGCCAGGAACTTCAGATTAGCCGGATGATTTATGTCCGTTTTCACCGATGTAGATTAACTTTAATCTCCGTCCAACTTCGTCTTCTTCTAGTTCTAAGAATTAGAAAAAGATGGATAATAAATTGAACCGAGATCAAGTTTGTCTACATTGGCAGAAACGAGTATTAGAACCTCGGTAATCTGAAGCTCGACGCACGCAAGTCTCTCTTAGGTCCATTTCTACCTATGTAGATTAATCCTTCGAAGTTGATGTGGGTCTATTGGGGACCTACTCAATTATCCCTTTGGAGCTGACAGTGGGTCTAGTGGAGCTACTACGCAGTGATCGTTTAAATAATAAACATTCTGATGAGGAAAAATAATTTATCTTTCTCTGTGAAATAATGTTCAAATAAATATATTATATCTGAATTTACTATTAGTCCTTTTTCTTTATGTAAATATCTGTAAATTTGAATTATTCTTGTTAAAATAAATTTAGCATTCATCCTTTTTATACGAGTTGTGTCATTTTGGTTCTTTGAAATTAATTAGTGCAATTTAATCAACATATTAAATGATGAAAAAATGTCGAAATATTGCAAAGTACGAGTTTAACTTACTCTTCGTTTTTTTTGCTAATTCTTAAAATTAGAAAAAAAGTAAGTTAAATTGAGATTAAAATTAATCTCTATGATAGAAAAGGTACATAGTGTTGCAACAGAACGGCGAGAATCGGGCGACGTAACAAAGCGGTACGGCGCAACGACGTCACAAGACATTTCGTATAATCGTATACGGCGGAACGAGAATGCTTAGGAGACATTCATATCGCAAGCGCAATGAATCAGCGAAAACATCGTGACATGTAGTTTCGAATCGTGTGATATCACCGAATCGACATCGAGTCGCAACTGCGACACGAAACTTTGCTGGAACAAATAAGAATGACGAGCACGAGAGGAAACGTACCGAGGATGATGTCGTGTCAGACGAGGCATTAGTGCGATTCTTAAGCGTTAGTTAAGCTTTAGTGCCACGCACATCAGAAACAGATTCAAAAGCTTTGCGAGGTCTTGGAGTTGGGATTAGCCTCGTCGCCGATTAATCGCGGGGCGATTCTATTGAACGATCGTGACGCGACTGTTGAGAGGCAGCCGAGAGAGATCGGTACGTAAAATGCAACGGATAAGCAGTGAAACGACACACAAACGACGAACGGACGGTACAGCATCCTCTTGCTATACAATTTGCAGATCGAGCCTTTCCCTTTCGCCGCGGCTTGCAGCAAGAGGCATCGCAGTTGCGAAGCGAGAAGTATCACGACTTCGTTGCCAAACGCGGTCTCGGCTAAAACGATCTAGCTCTCGGTCTGCCGGTCTGCGTCGTATGCCAATAAACGGTAAGCGGTCATTAAGTTTTATTCGCCAGAGCGCTAAAGACGGCGACACGTACAAGAACGGCGGATGGAAAGTTTCTCCCTCTTTTATTTGCCCTCCATTAAGGAGAATACAGAAAACTAACGACGAAACATTACCGTAGTTATTCCCGTTCTCGCAATAACACACGTATACGTGTGCATAACAGCCGATCCGAGAGGATACGAAGTAACGGCGAAACGACAACAAGATACCGCGAAACTCGAAACCGGCAAACAAATGACATTGAGACATTGCGAATTGTTTGCTCATTGTGCAGATTACGCGTCGTACTGTGAAAAAATAAAGAAAAAGAAAAACATACAAAAACTGCGCGTTTATAGCGAGAAATATGGACAAACGTTAACACTTGGATGTATAATATACAGCCAATTGAATATATATTTATGCGCGTACATTCGAGACATCGTACGTATCGATTTAAAATATTCTCATATATTTCATGAATATATACCAATATTATTAGGTATAAAATAATAGTGTGGTGCCAGAAACCAATGACAAAAGCCTGTGCGGTAGTCAAAATATTAATAACGAATACTATTGAAAAAAAAAAAGAGAGGGAAAAGAAGAAAGGAGACTCATATCCGTTTTTCGTCACTGTAGATTAATCTCGATGTAATTTACTTTTTATCTCTTTTTGTAGTTCTAAAACGAGATAAAGAAAGAGAGTAAATTGAACCGACATCAAAATTGATCTACGTTGGTAAAAATGGACATCAATCATGCTAACGTCATTAAAAAATCAAACAACAAAAATATAATTGCAAACAAAGGGTTAAGTATAGTGGACGAGACACAAGAAGTCGACAAGGCAGATTTAGCGCGTCGGACGCATAGTATAGACTATAGAATATAGATCATAGAACACGCGGGGAACGCGAAGGGGCATGGATTGTCCGTCGGACAATTAGAAGCGCGGCGACAAAAGAAACGTAGGTAGTGGGATGAACCAACCTTCTGGCCACAGCGCTGGTACGTGTCTAAGAGCTTGATCGTCGAGGCTCGTACCAGGGTCTGCTGGTTCGGGCTACTCTTCTGCAGCGCATTATTGTTGTGCAGCGAGCTAAATGCGGTATTAGCACCGTTCACGGAGTACCGTTGTTGCAGACCGGTATTGTCCAATTGGTAGTCGCTGGTCGATTGGACCAATGCGTGCTGGATCACCGGCTGGCTCACGTTGTAATCTAACTTGCGCTTCTTGCTGGGATGGTGAACGGTGTTGTTACTGCTGCTGCTGCTGCTGCTGCTGCTGCTGCCGTTGACGCTACTCGTCTGCTGTGTTTGGATGAACATGTCACACATTCCCTGCAATCGGAAAGTAACGACCTCATTAGTGTTAAACGTCAGCGGTCCATTAATTTCTTTCCAACGTTCAATTTTTATTCACTATTATGATCGATATCTTATTACGATATCGGTTTCTCGGGGATAGAGATTTTTTAATTAACACAAATAAGGAAGAAGTGTCAAATACAGTCGAGGCCGAATCTTTGTGCCTAATAATATTTCTGTATAAATTTGAAATAAAAAAGGAAAAAATCCTATTTTCGATCAAAACGAATCATGGTACTTGATGATATTCATATACAAATGTTTCCATATATTTTTTCAGATCTAAACTGCATGCCGGTTTGTCGGACTTGAAAATAACATCACGAATTACATTGATCTTCAATTTAATAAAAAGGTTAATAAACATTTTAAAACGCTGCAAAGCATTTATTGCAAAAAATATCCGAGAAAATATCACCTCAGCTGAAATTTAAACCAGGATCTGATTCATTCTATGCGAGCGTCTTATTAATTCAACTACCGAGGAAATATATAGAGATTTTGCTGCAATAATCAGTAACTAAAAGAGAACGTCATTTTTCAAGAAGCGTGTATAAACAATTATAAGTGAAATTTCAACTGACAAGAATAAGTCAAAGAAAAGAAAGAATTCTATTTTCAGTTGACTAAAAATAGGATTCCTTCTCTTCTATTTATTCTCGTCGGGGTCTAATTTTACTTATTTTACTTATAAATTTTAAATATATCTTTTAATTAAATAATCTGCGCGCCGATTGCTGTTGGATTTGAAATTCAATCATAAACACTGAAGCTGAAATAATAGACGTTTAATTATTAAAAGAATGGTAGTAGCTCTTAAACATCTTGCCGTATCACAGAAAATAAAAACGACACCAGTGCGTTAAATATTCAAGTAGTGACACTGTTTCCTCGGACATTTGAAAGACACCTCGACGCAAAAGTATGTGTCACTATGGCGGAAAAAAATACCGCGGGGAACACAAAAAGTAAAGCCAACGACCATGAATATTTTAAAGCCTTCGTTGACGTGTGTCCACGTCGTCAGTTTGGGTCAGTGATTCTCAAAGAGCAGTCGGCAGATATCATATTTCTATGTGCGAACAACCGGAGGGGCCGCGCTTCCCGGTTTTTTTCCAATAAGTACGACTGTTTGTTTGCGAAGAGCAAACAATTTCCACGAGGCTTACCGCGGTTAACCGTCTCGACGACGGTCTTTTATCCTCTGCTGCTTTGTCGCCGTCATAGCTGAGAATTCTCGCCGCTCGTTTCTAAGCTATTAGCCGCTCTTATCATGCGGATACATTAACGTTTTATGTCTCGAAATAACCTGTCGGTTTCGGGACTCTCTATTTTAAGAACTTTTTAGCTCTTCGACTTATCGTGAAAAATCGTAAATCTTGATCACGCGAGTACGACCTGCTACGTCCTACATTGAAAATTATTGCTTTGTATGCGAAAATGACGTGTTCGTATCATGCAAGATGACCTACAAAGAATGAGAGCTCCACCCGAAACGTTATCGCTTGCAGCACTTGCTTTTCGACATTGATCAGTTTAACGTCAAATAAAAAATTCAGATAATAATAATTGAAAGATCAGGTGCATATACACGGTTTCTGTAAAAGATGATTTAAATCGAAAATTTATACTTTTTGTATAAAAATGAATGTTGTATACATATAAAATAGTTTAACAATACAATTTTGTGTAATTTAAATAAAATTTTTTTCATTTTAAATATTAAAAAAAGAAATGTTTTCATTATTGAAAAAAATTTGTTTTATCATTATTGAAAAAAATTTGATTTAGGTTCTAAATTACTGCCAAACTTTTTGTACCTATTATTACTTTCACACATATAATATATATACAGAAAAATTTGTAATATTTTCATAATTTGTTCATTTTGATAAAAAATACGTAATACATCCTTAATGTCGCAAAGGTTCCTTAATTGCAGCGGCGTGTGGTACTATTTTCTCATTTGATATCAACACAGCGTAATTCCATCTGATCGCACTCAGATACGTAGTATTGCACAATACGTTTGTGACTCATAGTCGGAGTTGCCGCTCGAATAGTACCGGGCGTACAAAAACAACCGATCGATCGCAATCCCGCAGTATCGCGGAAATAACGCGATTTCAATTCTACCCTCTCGGGTCTCCCTCCCTTCTTCAATCTATGATATCGGTACACATCTCATTCTCTCTTTCTCTCTCTCTCCCTCTCCTTCCCCTTTTCTTTCCCTCTCTCAACTGTTCCCGCCGTCATTTACCCGCGCGATGTGCTCTAATTATAGTGCTGACTGTCAGAAATGCTGGTCGGCATTATGAACGATCTACGGTACCACGAGGTACAGTTACGTTTAAGTTAACCGGCTCGACACACACCCGTCGGTTCCTAACAAGGTGGTGCAAACAAGTAGTACGACCATGCAGGTCGCCTGGCGAATCGTAAAAAAATACCCGTCGCATTTTGGCGCATGCAGGGTTGCGAAAAGACGTACCTCTCGCGTTCTCCAATTTTAGTATGCATTATTGAACGTGATTAATAACTATATTACATTCTCGACGTCCGTTGGAACTTTATAATTACGTACTAATCATGTATGTGTTTTTAGAGAAACATACTCTCAAGTACAGAACAAACGTGGACTTTTATAAAATAATAAACAAAGTGAGTGTCGCACGTAAGCCCGGCTTATTTCTTTTTTCCATATGTCACGCAGTCTGACACGGAAAGATGTACGTGTTCTCCAATCTTAATTAAAGTGCATTAGTATTAAAACATTAGTTAAAGAAATTAATAGCACATTACATTAAACATTCGTTTGTTAAAACTTTGTTTAATACGCACTAATCATTGATTTACTCGGTTTTTTTTACAAAGACTTAACTTTTAAGTATAGATAGATTTTTATCAAATAATAGGCAAGGCTTACGTATATAACATACATGTAACGATATGCATATATATATATATATATATATATATATCTGTATATGTAACCCGTATATTTTGCAACAAACGACAACGACAACGTAGGAAACGTGTAGACGCAAATGGAAATCGCGGTAATCCGTTTCAGCGAAATAATAAGCAGCCCGTAACTCCGTGGAATAACTCGTCGGAAATGTGTTCGGGGTAATTCATCAGACCGCGTCACGGTGACTCAGCCCCGAGTAAAAGTAACGAAACTTTGCGTCACCCTGTAGCGGCCCCCGCACCCGTGTGCATGTGTGGCCGCATGTCGTGTATCAACGACTATACGTAGGTATGCATCACGCGCCGCGCTTATATTCCGCGCGATGAGTCAAGCCGATCGATTGATGAACGGGAAAATCCGAGCTTGCTCGCCGAATGGCGAAAACTTTCCTGACAAAATTGCGAGGTAGCCAACTAACTGCGAAATCCAAGTGTGACCGCTCGTGTCCACACTATCTTGACGGACTCGCGACATCGAATACAAGATGACGCAAAAGTGAGCAACGCGACAGTTCTGCTTATCTATTAGGAAAGTACAATTACCCTTATCTTCCTCTTTCTCTCTCTCAAATTTACACAAAAAGGTGATTTATTTAAAACTGATATATTCTATTCGCGCGACACAATTACACCAGAAAAAATGACTATTCTTAAATCAATCATAATATATTCATATATAAGCAAAAATATTATAATCTTGCTTCAAAGATATCAATCTTGATTTGATTGAATTTGTATTGATATAAGATTTTTAATTGAGCAAGTCTTGAATCAAGTGCAAAGTAATACTTGCGTCAAAACAAATTTAATCAAATCAAGATTGATATCTTTGAGAGGCAAGATTATAATATTTTTATAATCAATATTATATATAAATATATTATGGTTGATTTAAGAATAGTCTTTTTTCTGTGTTGTTTCCTATATATAAACAACAACATAAAATCTTTCTTAAAGAATTTGATAACCTTAAATTTCAGCAATTATATTCTTGTATCAATATTATAACAATCATCTAAAAAGCACAATATTTTCTTTCGAAATTTAAAAAATCAAATGATGAAGATAAAATTGTTATTTTCACTTTATCTTTATGTGCGTCACACATAGGTTAAACTTCTTCTAATAATACGAACAGTTTGATTGGACATAATTATGTTATTTGAAATATATTACAGCGTCAGAACAAAAATTATTCTTATTTTAATATAATAACTCTTTTTGATACTGCAGCAGGATTTGTAGACACAAACCTATTCGGAATTTCTAGCAAATATTTTTTCATACATGATTATAATATATATGACGGTTATATCTCTTTCAGAGGCCCCGAAATGCTCCAAGAAAGCCTCTAGAAGACTCACCAACTCAATTTGCATACACCTCCTTACATAGGACTTCTGGGCGTTTTCCTTTCACGAGTAGCGCGTCCATCTCGTGGTTAGATCACATACGAAATGGACACGCTTGTTTTTAATAAGACAATTTAATAATATAAACAGCTTGTTCTAAGAGTAGAGTATACAATCAAACAAAAATTATTTTATTTTATTCTAAAGAAATTTTAATTCCGATTTCAAAATGTTATTTTCTATCTAATTGTTTTTGTCCGTCTCAAATCATGAAGATTATTATCAAATAACAAGAATACATTTTTCTTGATTTAATCAGATAAAATTCCTTCATATGAGCAAATTATATTGATTTAACGCTACATAATCTTATTTCAAGATTTACATTTCAAAAATAAAGATATTCTCAAAACAAGAATATTTTTTTTTATATGTTATGTTTTCATTACTTATTCTATTTTTTACACATAATTCTTGTTTTTTTATTTTTATTTTTGTACTATTTATTTTATGTATTGGGTCCTTAATTCTCCTACTTTTATTGCTTTTAACGCTTGGGAAGATCTGATTCCGAAGGCGCTTCATAATTAACGATCTCTATATTTGCCAAATCTTTTTAAAACTAATAAAAAAAGCGGAGGCAACTGTATG